TGGCTCCCAGAAGACGAGAGACTGGGAAAAGAGTATTCTGCTTTGTGGCCCAGCTGACCATCTGGCCCCCATGTTTCTTGGCATGCGTGAAAGTGCCACGGGTGTTACCAGCAATTCTGTGAGAGCCATTGGCTCAGGCGAGTGGGATAGATTTAAACTCACGCTACAGGGACTGCAGACGTGGCTCTCACATAGGGGCTGCTTCCTGTAGGGGAGGCACCGCTGGGTGGGCGCTGGACACTACTTGACATGTTCCAGTGACAGACTCAGAAAGGGTCTGTGCGTCTGAAGGCGGCCAGACTATGCTGAGGCTGAAGCACCCCAAACCACTTCTGTTTTGCTTTGGGTTTGAAATGCAGTGGGAACCACAGTGGGCCAGAGGTGTGCGTTTGCAGGCTGGGGACAGCGCGTGACCTCTCTTGCTCACTCACTCGCTCTAGTGGCATAGGGACTCACACCCAGCAACCAAGGGCAGGGACTCTCGCAAAGGCTTTATTTGCAGCCCATGGAGCCAGGCCGTGGAGCTAGGAACCCTTCAGGGCCTCGACTGAGCAGAGCTCTTGCCACCCTGGGAGAAGACTTCGACTTTGACTGGAGCCAGCTGTGTGCTGCAGCGATGAACCAGGGCGGGGCGGGGGTGGGGGATTCAACACCAGTTGCTAAGGGCTCCCAGGCACCTCAATTCCTTCAGCCAAGTGTCTGTGTGTACCCCCAGCCCCCTACTTGGCCGGCCAGGCAGTGTCCAGGGCTCCAGGCCACTGAAGCTGCCTCCCAGCCAAAGGGCTCTTGTATGGAGGCCAGAGAGGGGAGCCCCTGGTGTGGGCCTCTCTGGCCGTCAGTCAGCGGGGCGGGCTTTCTGTGCTGGTGGCTTCTTTGGTTTCAGGTTCCTGGGAGAGGGAGGTTATTTTGAGGGACCGGGTCTGGGGGTGGGGTGGGGGGGGTTCAGTCCTCTGCAGGGGAGAGTGAGCGAACATGCAAACGTCTCCCCAGCTCTCACTTTCAAATCCTCAAACATCTGACGGGGGAGGGGAAATGTTCTGGCCTGGAAGGTTTCACTGGGGAGGGGGAGGGGCTTTTTAGCCTTGGCCTAGAGAGTGGGAAGCGAGTTCCACCCTGGACCCCTTCCCAGTAGCCCCCTACCACCACCTGAGCTTCAGGGTAGAGCCTGGGACAGAACAAGATCCCCAATGTCATTCTTGGGTGCTGGGTACCATCTCACAATCCTGGACTACTCCTGAATTTAGAGCTTGAAACATGCCAACCAGATGGAAGAAGGCGACTAGGTTAGCCCCGCCCTTTTATTTCAAGCCTCTTCTCTTGAGGACTGCCAAGGGGTCCATGCAACGGAGTGGAAAGTGACCTTCCCTCCCCTCACCCCACCTCCAGTAGAGTGGTACTTTGGGGGACCCACCCCCAGGACCCGTGGGCCACTGACAGATCGCTGATGGCACTTTCTTCCTGGGAAGCAGCCAACTTGGAATTTGCTCTGTGTGTGGGGGGGATTGGGTGGCCCGGCCAGCCCCTGCCCCGCCCCCCCCATCTTCACCACAGCCACTTCCAGCTAGCGTCAGCCTCGGTCTGTCATTGTCACGAAGCAGCACAGGCTGGCCGGGAGGAGAAGGAACTGGCGACTCAGCTTGCGGTGCTGCAGGCCAGACCAGGGTAGCCCCTTGACACACACAGGCTCTCCCACACACGTTCCCACACTCAGGACACATGCACACTTCCTGCCCCCCCCCACACACCCACTGTTAACAGTGTGCCCCCCTGTAACTGACAATGCACCAATGTAGCACACACACAGGAGTCCTGGTGGCGCAAGGGTTAAATGCCCGGCTGCTAACTGAAAGGCTTTCGGTTCAAACCCACCCGGTGGCTGAGCAGGAGAAAGGCCTGGTGACTTGTCCAGTAAGACTGCAGCCATGGAAACCCTGTGGGGCTTTTCTACTGTCACCTGGGGCCACTGAGAGTCGGAATCGACTCAGCAGCATCCAACAACAAGAAGGCACATAACGTGCAGTCATGGTGCGTGGCCCCCACCCTGCACCCAGTGCACACATGGCTACACTCATTGCCCCATTCATTCGTTCATTCAGGCACTCATCCCACGTCTCCTACATGACAGCCTCAGCGGGAGGGGATAAGGCTTTGCCAAGAACCAGCACACAGCTGTCCTCGCCCTCAAGGAAGCCACTGGCTACTGGGGGTGGTAGGAAGATGCGTGGACATTCCCCAGGCAGTAGGCCACAGCCGTAGACTAGCAAACTTGAAATACTGATCTGCACAGAGAAGCCAGAGATGAGCAAACCTGGGTGGAAGGGCCCTGGCGGGATGACCTCAGCGCAAGGGGAGCAGACATAGGAGTTTCGTGTTTAGACAAAGTGGGATTAGGTGAAAGCGATCCCCTTTCGTTTGACGAGTGCTAGTGTGCTTGTGCAAATGCTGCTGGGGGCAGACAGACAGGCCCCTGGCAGGGTGGGGAGCTGTGGAATGCAGGCCTGGGGCAGGGGAGACAGACCTTCCAAGCATAAATGGCCCCTAGAGGCTTGGCTGGCTATGGGAAACCTGGTCAGTCAGGATCTGCCAGGGCGGGGTAGCACTCAGGGCTAGGACGCTGCCTGCCCCATGCCTCCACTCACCCTGCTTGAGGGGGACCTTGCAGGGCTCAGGCTCTCACTCACCCACTCAGAAACCCACTAGAGAAACTCAGACCTGCCAGGATGGGTTGAGCGACTTCTCGAGGTTTTTTATTAGGGGTGGGTGGAAAGGTGTGGGGGTGGGGGAGAGGGCGGAGCCAGCCCTGTGGGCTAACGGAAAGGAAGTGGGAGAGGCTTGGGTGTCTCCTGTGGGGGAAAGCGGTCATCAGGGAGGTCACCCGTGGTCCCCTCCCTTTCCTCCTCTTTCCCCCTTTCTGCAGTTCCTCATTTCTTTCCAGGCCAGGAGAAGGTTTTGCCACCCTAGCAATGCCCAGGATGCGTCAAGGAGGTAGGGGTCAAGTGTGCTGCTCCTACTGTGTGTGCATGGCTCCAGTTCTCCAGGTGCTCAAGGTTGAACTAGGCTGTGAATAACGTGCATGCGCGCGCGCTTACACACACACACACACACACACACATGCCTGTGAATACCACTAAAATCAACCCTAAGGGCCAAAGAGGGGCAGTGGTGGTTCGTGGTAGAAATTTTACCGTCCATATGAGAGACTCAGGTTCAATTCCCCACCAATGCACCACAAGCCAAGTGGGGACTTGAATGGTAGCATAGTGGCTAAAGCACTTGACTGCTCACCAGAAGGCTGGCGGTTCAAACCCACCAGCCACTCCTCGGAAGGAAGGTTGGGCAATCCTACTTCCGTAGTGATACTGCCTCGGAAACCCAAGGAGGGGTCGCTATGAGTCGGGGCCGACTCGACGGCACATAACAACAACAACAACAACAACAATGATGGCTGAACAGGTTTCAGCAGAGCTTCCAGACTACGATAGACTAGGAAGAAAGATCTGGCGATCTACTTCCAAAAATTAGCCAGTAAAAGCCCCACGGATCACAACAGTCAGTAGTGGGGATGGTGCAGGATCGGGCAGCCCTTTGTTCTATCCTGCATGGGGTTGCCATGAATCGGGGGCCAACTCAAAGGCAGCTAGCAACAACGCTAACAAGGGCCAAAGACATGGTACCTGCAAGTGGAGAAGCCCATGTTGAGGGGCTGATGGGCAGAGCAGGTTGCCTGGGAGGGAAGTCGGAGTGGGAGGGACAGCTTTGGGGGGCAGCCTAGGTGTGATGCTGAGACTGCAGTGTTGAAGACCAGCACCAGGGTTGACAGTCCTGAGGAGTGGAGACACAGAAAACCACGGGAGACCAAAGGACACACTAGCGTGTGAGGCACAGACCAAGCACGGGAGGGATTCGGGGAGCAGAGGGTATGTGTGGTGGTGGTGGGGGCTGTAGCAGACACCTTATCCAGCCCTGGAGGATGGGGATGTTTCCGCTGGCCCCTCCCCCAGCCAGGGCTCTCCTCACAAGTTCCCAGGGTGACAGTTCAATCTTGAAACTGAAAGCAAAGCTGAACCAAGAATATAAAGCCACACATAGCACCGAGAGCCTGTCCTCTCCAGCCCTGGGAGTGGGAGGGCACTGGTGAGCCCCAGGTCATCTGGCCCACCTGGCACTCTGGAGGAAGGGCCAGGTCTGAGAGTCCCTGCCCTGAGAGCTCGGTTCAGCCATCACTGTCCCTGACACAACACAACCCTATAGTGAGACAGTTCTTCCTCTGCAGACTCCACCTGTCAGAGCTGGGGTGCCCCAGCTCCCCAGGTGACTGAGCCAATGGTGACAGCGCTCTCCTCACCCACACGGCCCCGCCAACACCCTTCACACAAGATTCCTTCCCAAGCCAAGGGGATTTTGGGGCTTCCTCATGTCCTCCCTGAGGCTAAACCTGGCTTCCTCCATGGCTGCACCCTAGGAGTTAGTCTCTGGGTGCAGAGTGCCCAAAGTCCCTCCACCTGTCACCTTCTCTGGAGGAAGACAGGGATGGGGAGAGTAAGAGGCTGTGTGTCCCTGGGGCACCACAGCTCGGCCCCTTCCCACTTCAGGTGATGGACTGACTTTCTCTTCTCCCTTGTTCTTTACTTGCCTCCTTTCTTCTCCTTCCTCTTTCCTCTCCCACAGTCTTCTCTTCCTGGCAATCTTCCCTGGCATGGCCAGGTCTCTCTGGTTCACCAGCTGTCCTAGAACGTTCACTCGAGGAAGATGACTTACTCATGGCCCATCTCTCTCTTCTCCTAGGTCGCTCCTGTGGTTGGCCCAGCCCAGCATGCGGCCCTGAGCGTGGCTTAGGCCAACGCCAACTCCAGCTCTCTGCAGCCCCTGTTTTACCTTTACTGTGGCTCGGAGTGTATGCTCTAGGCTCCAAGGTGCCCTAGTAGCATCTCTTCTTCAAGAAAACCCCACAACACCAGAGGGCCCTGCAAATCCTTCAGCCAGCTCTCTGAGAAGGCAGCATGGCTATTACCTTGCAGCCCAGTGACCTGATCTTTGAGTTTGCAAGCAACGGGATGGATGACATCCACCAGGTATGAGCCCAGAGACCAAAGCACAGTCAGCTAGCATGGCCAGAAAGATAGACACACACAAGCAGGCAGCCAGCCAGTGATCCAGCCAGCTCGATGGCTGGCCAGTCAGCAAATATTGACAAAGCACCTACTACGCTTACAGCACTGTGCCTGCTTGACAACCAGACTGTATGCTACAGAGTCACTCAAGTGGCCCATCAGTAGGCACTGCGTGGTCATTTAGTGAGCCAGTTGTCCGCTTGTAGTTATGTGGCACGTGCAGCCACCAAGCCAGCCAAGCAGCTGCTAAGCAGATCAGCTGAGCTGTTGGTCGGTCAGCAGTGTGCACTGAGTGCACAAGGTGTAGACTGACAACCAGATGATCTTTTGGCCACTCCCCTTCACCCTGAGTGTCACAGTGAGAGAGGTGCTGGGATGACCACATAGCAAGAGGGAGCCCTGCCAGCTGGAAGCAACTTCAGGGTGGAGTCCAACCCCTGGCGTCTTTATACTCGTGTCTCTAGCCCTGTTGACGGGCTCTCACATGACTGTCTTTGTGGCCTCAATAACCTGAGGATTCACAAACAAGCTGGAAACGGGGTCTTTGGGTGGGAGGGAGCTGGAAACTAGGACAGCATTCTGGTGCTCACCTCCCCACTGCTCCATACCTTGCCCTGCACAGGGGCCGGGCGGGCGTGCTTTCCAGGCACTTACATGTACCCATTGGATGGTGGCCTGGCACACTCACTGCCACCCTCCATGCCTTCCACAAAATGGAGAAAGACGGAATGGAAGACTAGGAGTCAGAAGCCCTGGGTTGTGATCCCAGTTTGACCACACTGTCACCTAGACAACTCCAGTCCCTACCTTGTTCGGGCTACCAGGAAATCCAGCTGGATTAGCCATCTCTAGCAGCCCTGAAAGGAGTTCTTGTGGTGGATTGCCCAAGGCATTGACTGCTAACCAGAAGGTTGGTGGTTCAAACCCACCAGCCACTCCACAGAAGGAAGACTGGGCAATCTACTTCTGTAAAGATTTACCACCTCGGAAACCCAATGGGGGTCGCTATGAGTCAGAATCGACTTGGAGTGAGTTTGGTTTTTGTTTTAGGAGCCCCGGTGGTCCAGTGGTTAAGCACTCAGCTGCTAACCGAAAGGGCAGTGGTTTGAACCTACCAGCCACCCCCTGGAGAAAGATGAGGCAGTCTGCTTCCATAAAGATTATAGCCTTGGAAACCCTAGGGGGTAGTTCTACTCTGTCCTATAGGGTCCTATGAGTTGGATTTGATTCAATGACGTGTTATTTTGGGGAAGGGGCGTGTGCACATCAAAGCCTAATTCTGCTCTTTATCCTAAATCCCTGGGAGGAAGGAAAGCTTTGTCCAGTCTCCAGCAGCCTGCCAAAGGCTGCCCCCTAGTGGGAATTTTAGCACATTCTACTTTATATGCAGCTCTTCCCTATAGTTGTGGTGGAACACTTTTTATCAATACTGGCGTACCTAAAGTGAACCCCAGTGGTACAGTCGTTAAAGCGCTTGGCTTCTAAGTGAAAGGTAGGGGGTTTGAACCCACCAGCCACTCTGCAGGAGAAAGATGAGGCAGTCTGTTTCCACAAAGATTTACAGCCTTGGAAACCCTATGGGGCAGTTCTATCCTGTCCTGTAGGGTCGCTATGAGTCAGAATCCACTAGAGGGCAGAAATTTGGTGTGCTTAGCCCAGTGGAAGGCATAGTACAGGGATGTTGTTGTTATGTGCCATCGAGTCAGCCCCGACTCATAGTGACCCCTCCTTGGGTTTCTGAGGCAGTATCACTACAGAAGTAGATTGCCCAACCTTCCTTCTGAGGAGTGGCTGGTGGGTTTGAACCGCCAGTCTTCTGGTTAGCAGTCAAGTGCCTTAGGCACTGTGCTACCACAGCTCCCAGTACAGGGATAAGAAGAGAAAATGTCTAACCTAACATGGGCCCTCAAAGCAATTTGTCATTCTGTTTTACTTGTTTCTGGTCTACCCAGCGGAATTCCTGGTGGTGCACGTGGTTAAGTGTTCAAGTACTGGCCGAAAGGCTGCCAGTTCGAACCCGCCCAGAGGCACCTCGGAAGACAGGCCTGGTGGTCCGCTTCTGAAAGGTCATGGCCTTGGACCCTGTAGAGCAGTTCTACTCTGACACACATGGGGTCGCCTGAGTCCGAATTGACTCAAGGTCAGCGAACAACCATCTGCTCAGTGATGGCCTCTGTTTTCCACAGAGGCTATTCTCAGCTCCCACCGCCACACCTGCCCGTTCACCTTCAGCAAACAACTCCTTGTCCGCTCCCACAGAGAAATGAAAAGTCGAGGATGCCCTCAACCTCCCTCCCTTTTCCCTTTTATCTCCTCGATCACATCACCCATTCTGATTTCCTTCCCCTGGCCTGGGAAGCAAAGGGGTCTGTGGTAGTCGGGGAAAATGCCCTCCTCCCAAAATGTGAATATGCTAATCCCTGGCATCTGTGACTATGTAAGGTTAGGTGGCAAGGGGGGATGAAGTTGCATTGGAACTAAGGTTGCTAATTCGTTGACCTTAAAATAGGGAAAGTGGCCCAGATTATCCAGCCCAATGTTATCATTAAGGTCCTTATAAGTGAAAGAGGGTTCCTCGGAAGGAAGGTTGGGCAATCCTACTTCCGTAGTGATACTGCCTCGGAAACCCAAGGAGGGGTCGCTATGAGTCCAGGCCGACTCTACGGCACATAACAACAACAACGACAAGTGAAAGAGGGAGGCAGACAAGGGACAACTAGAGAAAGAGCAGCGTGAGAAGGACTTAGCCTTAGTTGCTGGCTTTGAAGATGGAGGAAGGGGCCACAAGCCAAGGAATGCAAGTAGCCTCTGGAAGCTGGAAAAGGCAAGGAAAGGGATGCTCCCCCTAGTGCCCACAGAAGGGAACACAGCCCTCCTAACACCTTAGTTTTAGCCCAGGGAGACCTGTGTTGGACTTCTGACCTCCAGAACTGTAGGATAATAAACTTGTGTTGTTTGGAGCCACTAAAAAAAAAAAAAAAAAAAAAAAAAAAAAAAAAAAAAAAAGGAAAGAAAAAGCATGCAAAGTATCACCCAGTGATGCTGTACCAAGGGCAACATCAGCCTCTACAGAGGACAGCCCTTCAGGGCTCCAAGAATTAGGAACTACATGAAGGGCCAGACTTGGGAAGGGGGGAGGGCTTCTTAGCAGGGGTGGCTGGGCCTTGAACCAGATGCCTGTCTTCTCCACAGCTGGAAGATCCCTCGGTGTTCCCAGCTGTGATTGTGGAGCAGGTACCCTACCCTGAATTAGTGCATCTGTACTCAGGCCTGGAGCTGGACGATGTTCACAACGGCATTCTAACGGACGGGACCCTGTGCATGGCGGAGAATCAGATCCTGGAGGGCAGGTTTCTGTTGGCAGGTCTGTCCTCTTCCTGGGCAGGGAAGGGCTGTCAAAGAGAGGGCTCCTGTTTTCAGGGCCCAGTAGACTACAATGGCCCCTAGTGATTCCAGGCAGCATGGGCAAGGCCCCCAGCAGTTGGAAGAGAGGGTGGTTAGGATGAGCAAAAGGTAGTGATGCTTCACAGAGGAGGGGACCTGTCTTAGTGGATTCATGATCTTTGGGGATGGGGTGGGACAATGAGGAGTGGAGGCCAGCTGGGGAGGTGTGGAGAAAAGGGTGAAATATGGCGGGCAGGGCGCTGATCCTTCCAGGCTGTCTTGTGGGATCTCTGCTTACTTAGCTCCTTAACACCATCCTCTGGGCTGGCTCTGATTCTAGCTGTACCCCTTGCCCTGTGCCCTATGTCCTGAGGGGACTTTTTTTCTCTTCCCCCTCTTTGAACTGGGGTCAGATGACAATGAGGCAACATCACCCACCATGTCAACCACTGAAGTCTTGCTCAATGTGGAATCTCCCAACAACGTCCTGGATGAGAAGCAGATCTGTAAGTTGGCACCGCGGTGACTGACTGCTCAAGGCAACCCAAAATTCTGTTCTTAAATATCACCTAACGTTATTGGACTCTCAAACACGTGTATGCTCAGGCATGTGACCATCACTATACACGTACACACACTCTTGAGTCATAATGGGAATGGGAAGGGGGGGGGTCAAGGGAGCACTGTAGATGTGGAAACGGTGGCCAGTGGCTTTTCCAGCCTCTCTACTCTCGTGTCTGGCTCCCAGAGAGACAAAGAGATATAGGATGTGACTGATTTGGGGCACTCACCTAGGACATTTAGAAATGAACCAGGCTAGGAACCTCCTCATCCCTTCCCTGTTACTGGAGGCCAGCCCCTTAAAGGGCTCGGATCCCTGCTGATCCCTGAGGGCCCCTAAGGCAAGCCCCCGCCAACTGCCTCCCCTCCTGCATATGCCCTAATGCCAAAGGGGAACTACTGCCTTACCCACCCTTTCTCAAGGAGGCGTTGTGACACACTGGGGAAAAAAGCCCTGGAGCTGAAAGTGAAGAGTCCTAGCAATTCTAATCCTGACTGTCACAAATTTTCCTTCCGGATTCACCAAGTCTTTCCTGCGTGCCAACAGGTCCCAGACAGTGACTTGCTTTGTGACTTTGACCACATGCCTTGCCATCTCTGGGTCTCAGTCAAGCAGAGGAATTGGGCTGAGTTCTCAGACTCCTTTGAGTTGTGAACTGAGTGAGTGACTAAATCAAGGTGGCTCTTTACCCTGGTTGCCACCTTGAGGCTTCCCCACCACCACCGGTGGGTTCTCAATGTGACAGGTGTGACTGGGGCAGCTTGTGTCCACAGCTCTGTAGAAGGCCCCTCCCCTCACAGTGGAAGACACCTGAGGTGTTCTTGGAAGCATTTTGCACTGGGTGCTATGTCGAACAGCACCCTCTCTTCTGGGGCCTGCCCATCTCTCTAGCCTTGGGAGAGCCCCTGTGACAAGCCCCACTCACCTCAGGCCTTCCCTCTTGCAGTCAGCACCTCTGAAATGCTCCCAGACTCAGACACTGCTCCAGCCGTCTCTGTGCCCAACTACCTGTTTCCTGCCTCTGAACCTGAAACCCTGAGCAGGGGTGGTGACACTGGTGACCAGGAGGGGCACTCTCTGGAGGAGAAGAGCTTCCCAGAGGAGAATGCTAAAAAGACTGGAAAATCAAAGAAGAGAAGTAAGTGCACGTGTGCGTGTGCAAATGCACGTGCACATGTGTGTGTGTGTGTGTGTGTGAGGAGCTGGGCAGTGGGTGGAAGGGTCAGGGAGACCATAAGGGAGGACCAAGCCATGGCTCATGGTCATGCTAAGAGGTCAGTTCTTTGGTGTGGCAGCGAGGTTCTAACAGGCACCCCATCTGTTAACGTCTGGCCTTCATGGGCTGGCCTACCCAAGGCCTGCCATTTCTCCTCAGCTCCTGTCTGCCCCACAAGATGTAAGCGCTTCCAGAAATGCAGAGGATCCTCATGGGCTGAGGCCTAGGCTGCCAGTTCAGACCCCAGGCTTATACCTCAGGGGCCTCTGCCTATCAAAGATGAGTCATCCACCATGTGCTTATCTCCCTTCTGTGGCGCTTATGAAGTTGAGGTCACACATGGGAGAGGGCTCTGGGCTTTGCCAAGCCCTGGTGTTACTGATTTACTCAGGTGACAAGCTGGTTGATATCACCTCGTCAGCATGGCAACTAGAATGCAGCGCCACCTGGCCTGCCTTTAGGCTGCCTCTCCATTCCAAAACCTAGGGTCAGCAGAGAATGTTCTTAGGACATTGACTGAAGGAGCCCTGGTGACAACGGTTAAGCATTTGGGTGCTAACCTAAGGGTTGGCGGTTCAAATTGACCCAGTGGCTCCATGGGAGAAAGACCTGGTGATCTACCTCATAAAGATGACAGCCTAGAAGACCTTATGGGACAGTTCCACTCTGCCACATGGGGTTGCTATGAGTTGGAATCGACTCAATGGCACCTAACAACGCAACACCAATACATTTCCCCATGGCCTAGATGCATTTAAAGTGCTACGTTTGGGTCTGGAAATGAAGGCGGACCATTGAGCAGGGTGGACCCCTGATAGCTGAGCCTCCAGCCCCCATGACTTGCTGCCTCCACCCCACCGGCTGAGCTCCCGGGCCCTCCCTCCCTCAGCTCACCATGATCTCAGCCTCATCCTGCTCTCCCACTCCCTCTCACAGTCCGGAAGACAAAGGGCAACCGAAGTACCTCACCTGTCACTGACCCCAGCATCCCCATACGGAAAAAATCCAAGGATGGCAAAGGTATGGCTGGGAGGACAGTGAGGTGGGAGGGAAACCCTTTCTCTGCCTCCGGGGTTCCCAGGCGACCCCTGACTGCCTGCTCATCTGCAGGCAGCACCATCTATCTGTGGGAGTTCCTCCTGGCACTTCTGCAGGACAGAAACACCTGTCCCAAGTACATCAAGTGGACCCAGCGAGAGAAAGGCATCTTCAAGCTGGTGGACTCCAAAGCTGTGTCCAAGCTGTGGGGGAAGCAGAAAAACAAGCCTGACATGAACTATGAGACAATGGGGCGGGCCCTAAGGTAGGCAGCTGCTGCGGCACAGGGTCCCTATCCGGTGACCATCACCAAGCACTGCTTTAGGTCCAAAGAGTCTCTCCTATTGTAATGGAGGCGTGACTAGTCCTTTGAGGACTTGGCTCTTATAGGCCTCCCATCTGCTCGCCCCTGGACCTCTGGGAGGGAAAACCCCCTTCCTCTTGCACCTCTGCCCTAGCCTTGCCTCTTTTTATAGCAAGAAGAGCATTTTGGGACTTCCCACCCCCAAGAAGGGCTCTCTTTGTGTTTTGCAGGCCAGAGATGCAGGGAGACAGGCTTGAGTTGGTCTCTCAGGCTAGGAGATGGCTGAAAGCCTGGCCAACTGTCCCCTCACTTATGTTCCATCCCTATTCACCCCTGTCCTTCACCCCAAAGCAAGGTGGGGTTTGGCATTTAAAAACCTTTAATTATCATCGAGTCTCTGATGGGGGGGGGGGGCGGCAGGAATCTTTGACATTTCCTAAAAGCCTTCCAAGTCCAAGACTTGCACTTACTCTTGTCCTTGCCCTTGGTCTCCTGCTTGGCTCCCCTGCCAGCCTCAGTCTCCTGCCTCTGCAGTCCTCCTATAGCACGGTGTGTCAGGGAGAGAGAGTGGGATGGCCTCACCACTCAGTCCCTAACTGACTCCCCACTCTTCAATGTGTGTCCCTCAGATATTACTACCAGAGAGGAATCCTTGCCAAAGTGGAAGGGCAGAGGCTGGTGTACCAGTTTAAGGAGATGCCCAAAGACCTGGTGGTGATTGAAGATGAGGACGAGAGAAGTGAAGCCACAGCTGAGTCCCCTCAGGCCTCCACCTCCTCCACTTCTTCCACCGCCACCACCCGCCGAGCCAGCTCCAGGGTCTCATCCAGAGCCACCACCCAGGGCAAGGGTGGTCTTTCCTGGGAGAAGCCAAAGGTTGCACACGTTGGTCTACAGCCATCCGCGAGTCTGGAACTGGGCCTGTCTGTAGATGAGGAGATTCCCACTACCTCCACTGTGCGTGTCTCTCCACCAGACAGCCAGGCCAAACTCACCCAGGCCATGAGGTAAGAGCAGCAGACTAATTAGGATTCTACCCATAACAGCTTGGGTGTGTGTGTGGGGGTCAGTCTTGAACTTCTTGCAAAGCTCTTCTGTGTCTCTGGCCTCATGGGTCTCTCACAGAATCCCTAGGATGCCAGTGGGGCACTGTTGGTCAAGAGAGGAAAAAGTGACTTGCCCAACCAAGGTCACACACCGAGGTAATGGGAGAGCCAGCACTTGACCTGGGGGAGGCTTCTGCCACCCGCTGGGGCTGCTCCTGGCATACCAGTGTTCTCCTCCAGGCAGCCCCCCCAGATGCCTACCCACCGTGGCCCATTCCCTCTGAGCGCCTTTCACTCCGAAGAAGAGGCGGCAGAGGATGCTGCAGAGTCGTCTGCACTCCCTTCCTCAGGACCTCCAGGCCCAGCCAGAAAGTTCTCACTACTCCTGGTCCCTGCTACTTGTTGTTGTCATTCGGTGCTGTCAAGTCATCTCTGACTCACAGCGACCTTATGTACAACAGAATGAAACACCGCCCGGTCCTGTGCGAGCCTCTTGATCCCTGCTAGACCTGAGCCCATCGCTGCAGCCACTGTGTCAGTCCATCTCGTTGAGGGCCCTCCCCTTTTACGCTGACCCTCCACTTTACCGAGCATGATATCCTTCTCCAACATGACAACCTGACCAAAGTAGGTGAGACAAAGGCTGGCCATTCCGGATGCACTTCTTCCAGGACAGATTTGTTAGTTCTTTTAGCAGTCCATGGTACTTCCAGTATTCTTCGCCAGCACCACAACTCAGAAGCATCAAGTCTTCTTCAGGCTTGCATGCTAAGGTGCCCCCAATTCGCTCTGAAAAGGTTGGACTTTTTCCTGGTTCTGCATCATGTACCTCTCACCTCACTGGTGTACTCTTCTAATGAGAAGAGGCGACAGAGTAGAATGGTGAGGGGACATGGGCTCTGGAGTCAGCAAGCCTCGATGTGAGTCCCTGCTCTACTACGTAGTAGCTGTGTGCTTTTGGGCAAGTTACATAACCTCAGTTGCCTCCAATAGTAAAATCCGATTATTAATCCTATAAATTTTGGGGCTGTTAGGAGGATTGAGTGAAATACTGCACATAAAGCACTCAGAATGATCCCTGACCTGCACTAAGCACTCAATAAACGTCAGCTACAACCAGGTCCCTGGGTGGTGCAAATGGTTTCCACTCAACTATTAAACCCAAAGGTTGATGGTTTGAACCCATCCAGCAGCACTATGGAAGAAGGGCCTGGCAATCGGCTTATATAAAGACCGTAACCAAAAAAACCCTATGGAGCTGTTCTACTCTGTGACACACGAAGTTGCCATGGGTCAGAATCGACTTGTCAGCAACAAGTAAAACCACCCCCCCCCCAAACACCTTCAGCTTCCCTCCTCCTGGGCCCTCTTTTCGAACCAATTGGGGCATACCTATGGTCTTAACCAAATCTGTTTTCTGTTTCTTCTCAGTACTTCTTCCATGCCCAGCAACATCCACCTAGGAGTGGCCCCTGTGGGGTCAGGCTCAGCCTTGACCCTGCAGACAATCCCGCTGACCACGGTCCTGACCAACGGGCCTCCCGCCAGTACTACTGCTTCGACCCAGCTGGTTCTCCAGAGTGTTCCACCTGCTTCATCCTTCAAGGACACCTTCACTTTGCAGGCCTCTTTCCCTCTGAACACCAGTTTCCAAGAGAGCCAGGTGGCAGCGCCAGGGCCTCCACTGATTCTCAGTGGCCTCCCTCAACTTCTGGCTGGGGCCAACCGCCCAGCCAATCCAGCACCAGCCCCACTCACGGGGGCTGGACCAGCAGGGCCCAGCTCTCAGCCCCCTGGGACTGTCATTGCTGCCTTCATCAGGACTTCCGGTGCCACAGCAGCCCCTGGGGTCAAGGAGGGGCCGCTTAGGCCCTCCTCTTATGTGCAGGGCATGGTGACTGGGGCCCCCATGGAGGGGCTGCTGGTGCCTGAAGAGACCCTGAGGGAGCTCCTGAGAGATCAGGCTCACCTTCAGCCACTCCCAACCCAAGTGGTTCCCAGGGGTTCCCAGATTCAGAACCATATGGGGAACCAGACTTTCTCTGCACCCAGCCACCCCACTGTTGGGCTGACCCCAGTAGCTGAACTTGAGCTCTCGTCAGGCTCAGGGTCCCTGTTTATGGCCGAGTCTAGTGTGACCACCTCTGGAAGCCTGCTGGCCAGATCCCCCACCCCAGCCCCCTTCTCTCCATTCAACCCAACCTCCCTCATTAAGATGGAGCCCCATGACATATAAGCAAAGGGGTTGGGGAAGGGTGGCCCACTAGGCCGAGTTGAGGAGCATTTCATTTAGGGCCTTCCTCTAGTGGAGACTGACTTGCGCAGAGTACCCTGCCCTCACATTTCAGCCCCCACCCCTGCCTGGCATCACCGTGGCCAAGCTGCACCCAGTTTGAGCCTTGCTGGCATCAGACCATGGCCCTCAAGAGTATCAGAGGATATGCTCTTGTCAGGTTAATGGCCCAACCTGGTGATGGAAGGGAAGCCTCCTGGGCCAGGGAGAAGTCAGTGGCCAGGCCAGGGCTTAGAGAGACGTGGCCTCCTGCCTGAGGGCAGTTCACCAGCCACATTCCCTGCACAGGGAACTTGCTATCCCATATGTGAATATCTTTGTATGTATTTGTGTGTCTCTGTGAGTCTCTATCTTAGTTCCTTCAGGGAGAACAGGGGTGGAGCTGTGAGGTCTTCAAGGTTACCTCTCCATGGGTCAGCCACAGACATGGGGACTTTTTTTAGTTTTAAGGGAAAAGCATGATGTAATTCCCTATGTACAATCTGAGATTCAGTTGCTCTGGGACGACGGGGTACAGGTTGGATCCTCCAGATCTAGAGAGCTGTCACAGTTGGTACAGGTCCCAGATAAGCGAGCTACAATGTACATGGGATGGGGGTGCAGCTGGAAAGGACGAGAAGGCCGAGTGGTATAAAACCACGAAGCGGGAGAGGAGAACTCAGTGTTAGGCAGCCTCCGGCACAGGCCAGCCTGAGGCACCTTCCCGGAGTTTGGGGTACTGCTCCAGAGTGCTTTGTTGAAGGGTTAGTCAGAAGCAAAGTGCCCCTCCGTGGTCAGAGCCAGCCACAAAATCAGGCCGGGCGGAATTCATTGAACTTTCATGCCTTCGCCATGGGCCGTTTCCAGAACCCCAGCCTCCACAGGACAGCAGCCCGCTTTGGCACCCTGGCCTACGTTCTCGGCAGGTGGTTGCCGGGGCCTTTTCCAAGGCACTTCGGGGTGGACTCCAGCCTCCAGCCTTTTGGTGAGCAGTGGAGTGCGTTAACCCACGTTCACCATTTCCACCCCCGGAGACTCTGCATTCCTTTTGCCCCCGGCTACTTCCCAGCTGTGAGGCGTTGCTGGGGAGAGCCCCCGGAGCGATGTGGGCCGGGCCCTCCAGCACTCTGCTCCTGCCACCCAGCCTGCCTTCTACTCATCTCATGGGGTTATTAACCCACCCTCATCCCTGGTGGCTCCCGCACACTTTCTCTAGTAGATGCCCCTCATCTGTAACCCTCCTTCCTCCCGGGGTGGCTCCCGTCTCCACATCACTCCTCTGTCGTCTTTCTGAGGAAGGGTCAACCTATTCTCTTGTAAAGCCAACCCCGGAGCTGAAGACCTGAGTCCTCTCCCCTCGCCCCACTTGGAATCAGCCTCTCTCTCTCCCGCCAAGTTTTGGGGCAAGGCTAAGATGTGTCAGCCGTGGAAACAGCCACATCTTTCTGGTGAATTTGGCTGGTGTGAATCCGTGCCTCCGGACGTGCTTAGGTCCTTGGTACAAAGCTGTGCACTTGGCCTACCTACCTCCCCTGTGTTGCTCTTCTCCCTTCTCCACGTCATTCTCTCCCACTCTCTTCTCCTTGTGCGGGTGCGTTTACTACACATCCCCAGCAGATGGCATTAAAATGTCTTTTTCTAATAAAATCAGTTACGACAATTTCCTGGTGGTTGAAAGTGAAGCATCCTGAGAAGGGATTGCCTTTGTGATACGGGCACACATGCGCTGCATGGGCTGGGGCAGCTCTGGCCCCTCCTGAAATCTGGTTTCCGTCGCTCCCTGCAAAGCTCATCTTTCGAAGGTCACCAGATACCCTTACGGTCAAATACAATGTCTTCTTCACAGTTTTCGGCTCCTATGACCCCTCACAGCACAGGACACTACTTCTCATGCCCTCTGTCCGCACTAGCCTGGTTCTCCTGCCCTGTCCTCTGTGCCTGTGCTAGCTTCTCATGTACAGCTTTAAATGTGGATACTCCCTAAGGGGCTCATCCATTCCTGTGGTTCCAGCTTGGCTCTTTGGGGATGAGCCCTAAGTCTAGAATGCCAGTCCCTTCTTTCCTCCCAAGCTCCTGGCAGACTGGTGGGCTGCCAGCCTTTTCCACCTAGATGCCACACGCATACACACACACACACACACACACACACACGTTTCCAAAACAATGAAAACGTTCCCGCCTTGCTTATTTCTGTTCATGATAGCACCATTTCCCTGACTTTCTAACCTTGAAATAGCAGAGCCTGTCCACTGGCTGCCTTCACTTGTCCCTCTTCTCCCATCTCCAGAGATCAAGCGCAATTTACCACAACTCTAAAATCTGGTCTTTCTTCTAAGTTCCTGGAGCCATGAGCTTAAATCCAACCACCTAGCTTCCCTCCCGTGGACATGTCAGTGCCTCTGCAGCGTCATCAGCGGTGCCCCCTCTGATCTGCCAGGTCACCAATTCCGTCCTGCTTAAGAGCCCCCTTGGCTCCTCACTGCCTACAGGTGGGAGTGAACTCAAAATATTTCACCCCCAAGCCACCTAGGTGTTGGCATGAACTCTTTAGTTGCTGGATCATGAGGCAATCCAGGGCTCCTGGAGGAGTTGGGGGGCACTTGGAGGGCTCAGGGCAGTAGTTCGAGTATTTCAAGTTTAGCATCAGCCTTGCCTTCAAACAGAGTCCTGAATCATTGGCCCGGCACTCGAGGCCCCTTCCCATCAGGTTGTAATGGACTTTTCCAATCGTCTCTCCCACTGTTCCTCCACATGAAGGCACCCTTCCAATCAAACTGATGGACTCATGGGCCTCTGAGCATGCCTGGGCCTTTTCCCTCCTCTTCACTTGGTTCTGCTCAGCAACAATGTTCCTAGCATCTCTCTTCCTACCAAGTGCCGTCGACTCTGATTCCCGATGACCCCGTGTGTGTCAGTGGAACTGTGCTTCATGTGGCTTTCTTAGCTGTGATTTTTAGAAGCAAATCACCAGGCCTTTCTTCCAAGGCACTTCTGGGTGGACTTGAACTTTCGGTTAGCAGCCGAGCCCCTCTAGGACCAACTAAATCGCATCAGTTCTTGAAGACTCAACTCGTGGAAGCCGCCTCCCCCATGCCAGCCTAGCCTCTTAAGTGAGGTCTTGATTTGGAACTCACAGCAATCACCAGTCATATAGCGAGTGATCGTGACCAGTCTGTGACATGTCCTCTATTACAATCACTGTTACTGTTACTGAAATCTTCAACAACCTATACTTACTTAGTCTCCCAATTAATGAATTACGTCTCGAGGGGCGGGGGACTGTATCTCATGCAGAACAGGGAAGACTCTGAGAACATACTGAGCAGCAACAGACGGTTACTGATTAAGCTGGTAGGAGAGAGGGAACCAACTTTGAGGTAGGTGACCTCTGACCTCCCACATGCAGAGGCACTCAGTCCTGGTGTTCCACTGCCTGGGGCTCGGTACCCTCATGACACCACCACCCCTCAACCTTAGCATCGGAGATCTGTTACTACTTTGAACACCCTCTGTCCCTCAAGAGACTTCCCTGTCCAGTTTCCTTCCTACTCCAGGTGTTCTGCTAAAGTAACCTGTGCTGATATACTTATGGGAGAGGGCAAGAGAGAACCTCAGAAGGCAGGCTCATTTGAAGAGGGGTCATGTGGCAGACACATCCCTGCCTCTGCGACAATGCCATGGAGGGGACCCAATCCCCGCCCCCAGCAGCTGCCATGTTACTGCTTCCTCTGAGCTCCCTCTGCACTTTGTACGCACCTCTTATTGTACCACTTAGCACATTGTAGAGCCTTCATGAATGGTTTGTGTATGTTTCCCCTCCAACAGACTGTGAGCTCCTCAAGGACAAGGACTGAGTGTTAGTCACTGCTGTTCCCCAGCACCTAGCACAGTGCCTGGCACACAGTAGGTGTTCAATAAATGTTTAGTGAAAGAATGAATGAGTCTTGTCTCTAATTACCGCGACTTCAGGCCTGTACTATGTATGGCAGAGAAGAGATGTGGGAGATGGAGAGCCCATCCCAGCTTCAGACCTCATGTGACACCACCAGGCAGTTGCTTCCTTTGCTCATGTCTAGAGCCACGTCCAAGGAACGGGCTCCACGTGAACCCCAGGGTTGCTTCCAGCTGTGCCTTGCTGTCACCAGGCACAATAGGCCAACTCCTGAACTCCCTTCCTCGGCCGGCCAGCCTCTGCCTCCTTCCAGGAACTGCCTCACCACTATCTCCTCATTCCTGGGCGGGACTGAATGGCAGGGCTGTCAGGCCACAGTGGGAGGGGCGGGATAAGGAGTTATTCTGACGACCATAGCCCTTTTTGACCCCATCACGTATTGTAAGAGTGGCCAAAGCATCTGGATCCGGAGTGAGTGAGCTCATGCCTCTCTGGGCCGCTCCCAGGGCTGGAAGACCATGCCGAACGCCCGATCAGCCTCCGAGAGTCGCGGCCCTAGCACGCCGTGCGTGGACCCGGACATCCAGCAGATGGCGATGTCAAGCCGGAGACGGCGGGCGGGGGGCCTGGGCGGGGCTTGCTGCTCCCGGCGGAGGCGGCCTGCATCTTTTCCATCCCTCTGTCAGGCCCCAGCGTCCCCAACTGTCCCCCAGATGCTCAGGCCTCCATCAACGCCTCCCATTGCTCCGGAGCTTCCAACTACCCCACTTCCCCCGGAATGTAGCGGGTCGATCGAACGCCCTCTTCTCATTGGCCAGTCACACCGGCCCCGCCCCTCCGCCCGGCAGGTGAGCACGCGGCGGCCGGCCGGGGTGCTGCTCCCTCGGGGCGTGGGCTGCATCCCAGCCGCTGGCCCTGCTGGCCTACCCACCCGCTCTGCCTGCAGGGCCACCTTTACGTGGGCCGCGCGTTCCACCTTGATGTTGGCTCGGCAGCCAGGTGCCCGCTCCTGCCGTTTGCAGCGGACGGCCCTGACCGCTCGCTGCGGGATCCTGAGCTCCAGAGGGCTGGCGCGGAGCCCGGAGGCAACAGACACCAGCCTCCGGGGACACGTGGAGCCCCTGGAAAGCCCAGAACGTGGCGTCGCCCCCGCACAGCCAAGCAGGACGCCCTTGCGGCAGACCATCCCCACCCTAACCACCACTCACGAGCGCGCGCGCGAGCGCGCGCTCCAAGGCAGAGGCCGGACACAAGGAAAACACCCAGGGAGTTCTGTTATACGATATAGTGCAGGAGGGAAAGAGCTGTTTACTGCCCGATTCACCATCCTCAAAAAACGCCTAAAACCAGTTGCCCTCAGTGGACTCTGGGCAACCCAGTGTGTGTCACAGTGGACCTGTGCTCCAAGGGATTTCAATGGCTGATTCTAAATAGGGATATGGAAATAGGGGACAGTCCTTTCTCGGGGAATAATAGGAAGACTTGAGCAGGGCCTCCCTGTCATCCCCTCACCCCAAAGAACATTCTGCTAAGACTGCCATTAACCAACTTCCCTCTATAGGTTCAATGCCTTAGGTAAACGCAAACAATGCAACTATTGCCGTGGAGTCGATCGGAGTCATAGGGACCCCTCCCTGGGTTTCTGAGGCAATATCACTACGCAAAAGTAGATTGCCCAACCTTCCTTCTGAGGAGTGGCTGGTGGGTTTGAACCGCTAGCCTTCTGGTTAGCAGTCAAATGCCTTAGGCCCTATGCCACCGGAGCTCCCTAATAGGTAAACCCAAAACCCACTGCAAACCAGTCAATTCCAAGTCATAGCGACTATAAGATAGAGTGGAACTGCCCTATATGATTTCCAAGGCTATTATCTTTATGGTCAGAAGGGACCAGTCCCTGGAGAAGTATATCATGTTTGCTAAAGTAGAGGGTCAGCAAAAGTGGAGAAAATCCTCAATGAGATGGACTGACACAGTGGCTGCCAGGATGGGCTTCAGCACAGCAAAGATTGCGAGGATGGCGCGGGACCAGGCAGTGTTTTGTTCTTTTGTACATAGGATTGCGATGGGTTGGAAGCAACTCAACGGCACCTAACAACAACAAATCTTTATGGACACAGACTGCCAGATGCCTCATCTTTCTTCCAGGAGTGCCTGGTGGTTCTAACCGCCAACCTTTTGGTTAGCAGCTCAGTGCTTAACCACTGCACCACGAGGGGTCCTCCTGGGTAGGCTGGAGGAACTAACTTCCAGCACTCAAGGTGTCCTCGCCATGATTTGCCTATGATTCTCTTATTGGTAAATTGAGCCCCGTCGGGCAGACGGAGCAATGAAGGCCCCAGAAAGGGTTACTTGTCACGCACGGTGTGCCTAGGGCGTCAGTGGTGGAGCTCGCTCTAGGCCGCGATGAATGGTTTAGGAGACCATTTAATAAGAACCCACCATCCTCACCCCAATGTAGACCAAAGAGGCAGAATTAACCTCACAGCCTACACTTCCTGCCTTCTTCCTGGCAATCTGCTGGGAGGGCGGTGGGAGGACACTGGGAGAGGTGTAAGTAAAGGAGCCCCAAAGCAGGAAAACCAGAAAACTGCTATCCAGGGCCACGCATACATAGACATGGCTGGTCTGCGCGCACCCTGAAGGACCACCAACCCGCTCCTGTGAGGGCGTTTTGACTTGGCCCACAGCATCTACCTCCTACCTTAAATAGAAATCCTTAGAATACCCCCCACACCTGCCCGCCATCCTCTCTTCTCTCAAGGGACTGAATGACATTCCCCCTTTCCCCTCTCTCTCCCTATCCCACCCCAACATATTTTTATGTATTTATCAAAACAAAAGCAAACCCAAGCCCCTGACCTCTGTCACTAACCAGTTAAAAAATCTTCCCATGGTTCCCAAAACCTAAGACAAAAAGGTCCCAAGCCATGCCTCCTCCCACCCTCCCCTCCCCCTTCAGCGGCATTAATACTCAAGGGGTTGTAGTGGCCTGCACATCTTCACCCTTTTGTCTTCAAGTGTTTGCTCAGATTGTTCCCTCAGTTCAAATACTCTTCCTTGCTTCCCCTAATTCCTACTTTTCCACTTATTGAGTATCAACTAGGCATCACCTCTCCTGGGAAGTCACCCCTGACCCCCCAGTCCCCTTGCCCTGTCTACATCGAGGCCCATCCCTTCGAATGCCTTGAACTGCATGGCTTTCCTGACCTACTGCCAAGTCTGTTCTTTACTTCACTGCAAGTTCCAACCAGAGGATCAACCTGAATTAGAACCATTATGGGGTTGTTCGTGAACCGGACAAAGGCTATTCTGGAGGGTCTTGGGATCAGAAACGGGGAAGGGAAGACCAATGAGGAAGACTGATGTATGGCTCAGAGGGGATCATGCCCTATACCTACATCTGGGCAGAAAGAGCCAGGCCCGGGTCAAGGCCAGCTCCTGGGGCTTGAGCACAGAGAACAGCTCCCAGCTCACATTGGGCATGGCTGGACACCAGTCATGGTGCCCTAGTGGTGCAATGGCTAAGTGCTCAGCTACTAACCAAAACGTTGCTGGTACAAATATGCCAGATGCTCTGAGGGAGACAAGATGTGGCAGTGTGCTTCCACAGAGATTCACAGCCTTGGAAGCCCCACGAGGCAGTAGGAATGGACTTGACAACAACAGTTTTGGTCTGTGGGTTTTTTTAGGTGTTAGTCAGCCAGATACACAGACCACCTCACCTATACACTCTCTGCCCATGGCTCCCCAGATACTTCAGCCACAGTGAGAGGCCCCAAGAAAGATAGCTGAGAAGGGCCTCGCCATAGTCCTGTCACACAGTCCCTTCCCTTTGCCCAGGAACAGGTGCCTTCTGGAGCCAGCAGTCAGAGGGAGCCAGAGCTTCTAATGCCATTTTTTAGAAGCTTGAAGCTCGTATGATCTCTGACATCTTAGCTTCACAGTAGCTGGGTCTTAGGAAACCAGAACCATGGGAGGTGAGGGCAGCAGGGGGCAGGGGAGCAGTTAAGATCATGCAGCCACCCAGCTAGGGTGGTCCGGCACAGGTCAAGGAGCCATATCACAGGGATCACCAGATTCTAAGAACCCTCATACTCCTGTGCCCAACAAGGAATATAGACAGACATGCGCACACAGCCCCCCAAACCAACAGGACTCAACTTCCCGTCGGCCCACCCCCAGGACATGCCCTTGTCTTTCCTATTCCTTCCAGAGCTTGACCCATGACCCAGATCTCTACTGACTATTCCGCCTTACTTTTGTTCACTGCAGCCCCTCAGGGTCTAAAACTACCACATGGAATTGGGGATTCCCCATTCACTTAACCGGGACGCCCATCTTCAACCACAGAAAAGCCAGAAAGGGCAGAGAGTGCAAAGAGAGAGATGGAGACAGAAGCCCCGAGCCAGGTTTTTGGTATGCAGGTGTTTTTGACTCCACAGCCCGTTGCTGAAAAGGGCACATCACTGGCAGCACGATACACAGCCAAATGTGAAAAAGGAAGGGAAGTATCAAAGGAACCCCACAATACCATGCCCCAAACAAAACCAACAAATCCAAATGTAAAACACCTCAACTTCATATATATATATATTTTTTGTTTTTTTGTTTTTTTAAAAAGGGAGAACAACTGTTCAAAACCAACTGGGCGGTACGGTGGGGGTGGGAGCAGTCCTACAGAAGGGGGCCTAGAACATCCCCCTGGGAACAAAGAACAAACACAATACAAAGAAAATAACCACCAATGCTCCCGCGTGGGGCAGGAGCCGCCAGACAACAGATTGTCCCATCCTCAAACTGTTTTTTTTTTTTTTGTCTTTTTCTTCTTTTGTTGTTGTTGTTTTAGCACCTGTACAATAAAACTGTGCCATCTCCGACCAGACTTGGCCACAGCGAGGCCCTCTGGCCTTTGCATGGCACATACTCTCTACAAGGATTGTTCGGAAAAATAGCAATTGGTAGAAAAATAAGAACAAGAGTGGGAAAGACGACGCCACGGAGGGGTGGGGATGGGGAAGCAGCCAAGCTCCTCCCTCGCGCTCTCTCTCTCTCCTGAACCAGCCTGGTGCTGGAGGCCCCGAGGCCAGGCCGGGAGGGAGGCCTGGCAGCCACCGCTCAACCCCAAGCCTGCAGGCGGAGTGGAGCGGGGCTGGGATGACGCTCTTGCGTAGGAACCAGCTGAGGCCTGGATTTCACATCTGGCAGACAGTCCCCTAGCCCTCTGCAGATTCCACAGGAGACTGGGGACCGAGGGAGGGGAGGGAGGGGAAGACACAGGAGAGGGTGCTGCTAGTCTGGGAAGGGGTGAGAGCTGGGAGCTGAGAAGCTTGGTAACTAGAGAGGGTGAGGCCAGAACCGGGTGGGGAAAGATGCAGGAAGAAACTCGTATTGTGCACTCTGAGGGGGGTAGTGAGGAGGGGGCACGTTACCCATCAGGCCCACTCTCCACTCTTCCTTTATTAGAGTAACTCATTAACCTCTCACCCCACAAACCTCCCGCCCCCAGTAAACAGCAAAGGGGAGGAGGGGGAAACAAGAAAAAACTGGGGGTCGGGGGAGCACCAAAGCCTCGGGATTGATCCCAACCCCCCAAGCCCTGGACCAGCACCTGCTAGCTTTCTTAGTGACACTCCATGTCCCCCCCAGTCACTTTGTCAGCGGAGGGAGCGGCTCCAGAGAAATAGAAAGGAGGTGAAGAAAGTCCCTCAACACAAGTTGCCTCAAATCATCACAGTGATACAGACTTATCAGAAACCAATGAAACAATACAAATTAAATACTAATAAAATAAATACTATGAAAGACAGAAGAACACAGGGGAACCGAGGGGCCACTCAAGAGATCTGGGCTTTTCTCATTTCTCCTCAGGACAGGCCGTGGCCACCCAGGGCCCAGGTTTGGTCTTGTCATACACAGGGAGACCAGTCCAAAAGACCCCAGTGCCGCCTCCCACCACTCGCAGGGACCTCCTCAGATATGGGGTTCAACTTTCCACCCCCATCACCAACCACAACAACAATGACGATGACAGGGAGATGAAAACTAATTGTGACCCCCCAAAAAAATCCAGTCATTAATGCTGGCAATTTGATAAGGCGGCTTCTTGTTGGTCCGTATTATTGCCTCATTCTGCAGTCTGGTGCTCGGTGGGGGGAGACATGGGAGGTGGGGGAAGGGCAGACTCAGAGGAGAAAGAAGCAAAGGGAGGGGCTGTTTCCCGTCAACTCCAAGAATAGTATTCCACCTCAGACCCTAGGAGCCTCAGCAGCTCTGGCTCATACCGCACCAACTCCACAGTCTCAGAGGAGCCTGGTGGGGATCTGTCCTCCAGGCCTCCAGGCCTCTCAGCAGGGGTCAGCAGCTGACTCGAGGCCACCTGCCGGTAGAACTCTGCCTTGGGCAAGGTGGTAATTTCAAAGTGCGGGAATCGAGCCTGAAAGATCCGTGAGGAGAGCTTCAGCCTCTTCAGGACGTCTGTAAAGAGGAACCAGTTGCAGGGCCTGGAAGAGGCAAGAATGGGAGTTAGGGAACGGAGCAGGGGGAAGGCTGACAGAACCACTGGCTGGTCATTCTCCCACTAGGCCGTGGTGTCTGGCCACGTTCCACTGAACCATAGGCCCCTTGGGTGTAACCAAACCCAATTCATTGCCATGAGTCCATGCCGACTCATAGCGACCCTAGAGGACAGAGACAGCACTGCCAAGGCTGTCATCTTTAGGGCAGCAGACTGCCACGTCTTTTTCCCACGGAGCAGCTGGTGGGTTTGAGCCGCTGACCTTTTGGTTGGCAGCCAAGTGCTTAACTACTGCGCCACCAGCGTTCCTTCTTGGGTGTAGCTGAGACAAACAGTTTCTCCTGTTCCCTCCACTGCCTGGGCCCGCTTTCGCCAAAATGATGAGCACTCAACCCATGAAGGAGAGGGAGGGAAACGCGGAGTTGGCGTGAGCCTTTCGGAACCTAAAATTCGTCACTGGTTGCCCCAGAACGTCGCCCGCACCCCAAGACCTGGGATTGGCCATCTGCTGGCACCCCACGCCTACCAAACCCAGCTGGCTGCCCTTGGCTGTTCTCACTCCTGGTTCCCTCGCCTCCTTGTTCTCCACCATCCTCCCCAGCAGAGGGGAGCCGTGGAGAAAGGCCTGAACTGTGGGTAATCCAAAAGGCATTCCTCTCTGGCTCTGGAATGCATTAGACAAGTTTTTTTCTCCGGTGGCGGCGGCAGAGGCAGCACCATCGTTCCCGCAGGGTCGAAGCTCACATTACAGGCTGACTTTGCTGAGCGTACTCCACTGGGCAACAGCCTGGGGACAGCTAGGAGGGGTGCTGAGGGGGGCAGGTCAGGAGCCAAACGCTGGCTCTGGTAAACCAGGAAGGGGTGATCGAGAAACACTGCATCTCCATGCCCGTGGTCCTGTTTCCAGGGCTCTTCTTGCATTCCACTGCCTCAGTTCCAGCTGCCACCAGCTCTGGCCTGGACTACATTGCATCAGCCTCTGAACTGGTTCCCCTCAGCCAAGAGTCACTCTTCCACATCCGCCATCTACCCTCAATGGATCCTCTATATTACTATTAGTTTCCTAAGAAGAATATCTGACTGTCACTACCTCCTTCAACAGCTTTCAATCGCTCCCCAGTGCCTCCAGAAAAACTCCAAATCCTTTAAACCAAAACCAAACTCACTGCTATTGAGTCAGACCCGACTCACAGTGACCCTTCCTTGGGTTTCTGAGGTATCACTACAGAAGTAGATTGCCCAACCTTCCTTCTGAGGAGTAGCTGGTGGGTTTGAACCACCAGCCTTCTGGTTAGCAGTCAAATGCCTTAGGCACTACACTACCAGAGCTCCTCCAAATCCTTTAGACTGACATTATACAAGATCTGACAAATGTGACTCCATTTGAGTTCTTCAGCCCAATCTCTACCCTATCATACACACACACACACACACACACACACACAGAGAGAGAGAGAGAGAGAGAGAGAGACCATACCCCTCACCCCACCAAGTGCCAGTCATTTGATCCAGGACTCCACACTGCTTTTGGACTATACCCTGCACTCATATGCCCCAGTGCCTTTGCTCACACTCCATTTGCCTCTCCTTTCTGGCCACATCACCCAATGTCACCAACTGTACATCCCATCTTCTATAGTCTCATGGCATTTGGCTCACACACTGACTGTAAGTGTGACGGAGCCCATTTCTGCAAGGACGCGAAGGAAACTTCAACCGTGGTTCTCTGTGATGCATGGGAATGGGGGCTCGGGGTGAAGTGGGCTTTTATTTTTCACTCAGCCCCCTTCTGAACCGTTTTCTACAATGAGCCTGTATTACTTTCCTAATAAATCTACTCAGAACATTTGGTCTTCTATTACAGGGAATTGTGTACTTGTCTGTCTCCTCCACTAGAATGTCGTGGATTCTTCACAGGCTGGAGCTGCACTGTGATAACCCGGGTTTGACCTGGTACAGCTGCTTCAGACGTGTTTATGGAACTGAACTCTCTGTACAGCACCTAAAACGTCTATCCAGACCTGCAATCTTCATCCTTAAAATGCAACGTGTCTCCCAAATGACAGCAACCTGCCACCTCAAACGACCAAGGAATGAAGGGTTCTGGGTTAAGAGAAGGGGCTATCAATATCATTTCCTCGGACCATCACTTTCAAAGAATGAAGAGAAGAATCCCAGAATATAAACACAGATGATCAGATTCGGTCTTGCTTTGATGATTCCGAAGGCACTTCTGAACCCCACAGGGCCCCCGCCACCACCACCGCCACCGCCCTGCCTGAAGAACAGAAATTGTCACACTGTGCCACAGCTGGGGGGAAGGGCAGCTTCGGGATAAACTGTCATGTCAGGAAAACCCACAAACCAACTTGGCCAGGCCTTGCCCCTGCAAACGGGCCTCCCTGACTCACTTGCTGGGCGGCACGCAGTGCCTGTCTTCGTGTGCTGCCCGCACCTCTAGCACACTGCCCTGGTCCTTTTACTACCAGGGCCCAAGATCCTGTTTCAGAGAAGACGATGCTGAGAACTTCGGAGGAATTAATTAACTTGTGCAATACTATATCCCAGAGGCCCTCCCCACCCACAGGGATCAGCTTATGCCCAGAAGAATAAGGACCAAAAGCCCCTGAAACTTGACCCCGACTAGTGTCATCATATAGGCTATTTTTATTCTTATCAGGCCATGGGGGAAGGGTTGCAAAGAAACCATGGTCTAGTGGTCAGAGTTGTAAACTGAGGGCTCATCTGAAGGCTTCCTAATCCAACTTCCACCCCCTATCATGTGCCCTTCGTTTCATTTAAAAGAAATAGATCTGATATGTTTTCACTACATATCAGAGAATAATTATTCTTACAATCTTGTGCAGAGGTATTTGAAATAGGCAAAGATGTGGGTAAGAAGACAATACTTAAAGATGAGGCTAAGAACAAAAGGCCAACCCATGCTGGCATTCTCTCCACCAGCACATCTCCACATTGATAGAGCGACGCAAACTGACAGGAACCACAACTCTGCAGGCTGCCCAACTCCCTTCTGAATCAACAAACAGAGACGGAATTGAGTTGGGTCTAATGTTAAGTGTCAGGTACAGAGTCCTCCAAAAATGGGTGATCACGGTGGGCAGAGATGACAGCACCGATGCTCCCATCTTGCCAACATTAAGGCTATAAGAAACCAGGCAGTGGATTACTTAAAAACCCAAGTGGCCTCACAGCTATGGCAACCGTATGTCCTAGCTTTTCCAAGAATCTCCATTTCAAATATTCTGTCTGGCTGTCCCCAGAAACCACAAAAATGTTCCAAAGATTCTAATAGTTCATCAGCCAAAATATCTCCCTGATCATCTCTCACACCCAGAACAAGACAAAAAACAAAAACAAAAAAAAAACCCAACCCAGAGAGTGAATCTCAATGTTTGGGTCCATCTACCTAGAGCCCACAGACCGTCTGTCATATATTATCTTTCCTACACTTCAGTGCTTGTCTTCCAGGTCTTCCACTTCCTCCGGAGAACTCCGCCCTTCCCAGGGAGGCGGGCCAGGGGTTGCCAGGATCCCGAGGCTCAGTCCTTGTAGACATTTCAGGTACTTACCCGTGGGACACTGACACTTGGAGGTTGTAGCAAGGGAGAAGAGGCTTGTCTGAGAGTTCAAACATGAAATTATCCTCTTCCACATCATCTCCTTCTTGATCAGAGCTCCCAGGAGGATTATGCAGGAGGTCACAGGCAAACCCATCTTTTTCCTCTGTAGAGAGTGCACAGCAGGAATTAGGACTTAGCTACACACAAAAAACTGGAGAAAAGAAATGCCACAATGAGATAAAGGGGTGTGCAGGTGGGCGATTGGAAAACAAACAAGCCCACTGACTCCATAGCTCACATGCTTGGGAGGGCACATTTTAGTCTTAGAAGAAGTTATTTTGTGGCCAGAGGTTCATGATATACTTCTCCCCCTTTGTTGTTGTTGTTATGGGCCGTCCAAGTCGGCCCCGACTCACAGTGACCCCCTCCTTGGGTTTCCAAGGCAGTATCACTACAGAAGTAGGATTACCCAACCTTCCTTCCGAGGAGTGGCTGGTGGGTTTGAACCGCC